TTTTTTTGGTTTTTTCGAGACAGGGTTTCTCTGTGTAGCTTTGCGCCTTTCCTGGAGCTCACTTGGTAGCCCAGGCTGGCCTCAAACTCACAGAGATTCGCCTGGCTCTGCCTCCCGAGTGCTGGGATTAAAGGCGTGTGCCACCACCGCCCCGCTCTAGCCCCCCTTTTAACTGGTATTGCTGCCCACCCTTTCTGTATTGAATGCATTTTACACGGGTCTAGATGGCTCTGGAGACGTGTAGATTTGGAGTGTGTGTATTATCTGGGTTTTAAAGCCCAACCTTTACCGCTTTCCAGTGACTTGTCAAAGTGGTTTGTGACCCCAAAGGAGTAAAGAGCTGTCATATGCTCTGCAGCCAGAGCTGACTTTCTGATGTAGGGATCTGGTGTTGACACAAGGGTTCGGGTGACTTTGTCGCCCTGGGGACAGAGTCCAGATGCTTTAACCCGGCCATTAAGGTCCCAGAAGATCGACTTGGCTTTTTCTCTGTGCTACCAACTCTGTGCTCTTGCCATTGTGGGGCCGTTTTCCTTCTGACCTCTCTGCACACGCAGCTTCCGAGGGCAGAGCTCACCGCGCTCACGCTGGCTCTGCCTGCCTGAGGCGGCACTGTTGGACTGAATGCCACAAATGGAGTCAAGTCTCGCCCCACCTGGTAGTTGGACTGGGCATCTTGAGGCTCTGCCCCTTCCTGTTCCCAAGGGTCTGTGGGTTGCTCAAAACGTGCTGCCAGAACGCAGAAGGGCCAGTAGAGGCAGGGGCTGAGCCCAGTGGAGCAGGAGGTGGGCAGGGCCTTCCGGATGACCTGACCCACTCTTACAGGCGGCCCCCACGGTGGGGCGAAGCTTCCTGTCTCCGGCCTCTGCTGGCGGCAGGATGAACTGCCGGTCGGAAGTGCTGGAGGTGTCGGTGGAGGGCCGCCAGGTGGAGGAGGCCATGCTGGCCGTGCTGCACACCCTGCTCCTGCACCGCAGCACCGGCAAGTTCCACTACAAGAAGGAGGGCACCTACTCCATCGGCACCGTGGGCATCCAGGACGTGGACTGCGACTTCATCGACTTCACGTACGTGCGCGTCTCCTCGGAGGAGCTGGACCGCGCCTTGCGCAAGGTTGTTGGGGAGTTCAAGGTAGGTGAGTGAGTGGCCCAGCCGATGCGGGTGGACCCGGAGTGTGTGCCCCTCCCTCCACCCTGGCTGTGCGGTGGACCAGCCTGCCCTCCAGAGAGCAGGAGTCAGTTCTGCAAGGCTTGAAAGAACAGATGTGCTGAGAGCTCCTCTGGGGGAGGTGAGTTCTGTGTGTCTGAGAGGGTGCTCCTGCTTTCTCAGGAGGAAGGGCGAGCTGAGCTACCTCAGCCCCCCTCCCCAGCTTAAACAGTTAGGCCCCTGGAAGGTGGTCGTGGCTCCGGTGGTCCTGACCACCCTGGCTCCACAGCCGTCTGTGACAGCTCTCGTCTGTTCCTTCCTCACACAGTTTGGGCCTTGTGACCTGTGCTGGGGTACACTTGTGTTGGCGGGGAGAGAGGGGTAAGGGACACACCAGATGGCCCAGGTTGGTCACCCCACTCCCGTGGTGAAATGGCACTGTCGATGTTTTAATATTTTTTTAGATAGTGTAAAACAGCAGGTTTCATCCTGACGTCTTCATACATGTACGTCATTGTATGTTGCTCTCGATGGTCCCTTTTGCATCGCACATGCGTGTGTGTGTGTGTATTTAATCTAGATTTTGCACGAGAGACAATTTGTGATATGTTGTCTCTTATTTCTCCCGAATTGCCCACTCCCCTCCTCAATGACGGTGTGATTTTTGTCATTGTCTTCATGGAGAAGTCTAGTTTAGAGCATCGAAGGGAATCCTTCCTCTTCTTGCCTTTCTCCTCCCTTCATTCCTTCGTTCCTGGAGCCTGTCCGTTCTCGGGCTGTGTACTTACGCAGGGTTTGCACAGTCAGGTGGACGCTCTCCGAGGCCACAGCGCTCACTCCATCACTTTCCTTGTAAGGCAGGTGAGGCTGTGAGGTTTCCCAGACACCCTTTTAGACGTGAAGTCTTCGTCACTCTGATCTCTTGGTGACCGAGAGGCACAGAGAAGGGACCATCTGCACAGTGGTGGCCCACACCTTTCATCCTAGGCAGAGACAGGCTGATCTCTTGAGAGTTTGAGGCCAGCCTGGTCTACATAGTGAGTTCCGGGACAGCCAGGGACACATAGTGAGTGAGAACTAGGACTAGAGCTGTCCCTCCCCCTCAACAAGCCAAGCCTGACGCCACAGACAATGAGCTTGAGTGACAGTGGTCCCTGCTGTGTGGGTTTCTGTACCACAAGGAGTTAATGTTCACCACGTGCCTGGTGTTTGCCTAGAGTCTGGTGCTATTACAGAATTGTTAGCTTGTCACTACCAATCAGGGTTGTCTGACTGTCTTTGGGGGGTGACTGTGCCCTCTGCAGAGGTATCTTAGCTTTCTGTTGCTCAGGGGCCCAGCCTGGAGCAGGAGCCCACAGGACAGCGTAGGTAGACCTGTTGTTGGATGTTTGGTTCCATGTGCTGCTGGGGAGAGAGGAAATGCCGCTGCCGGATCTCTTGTCCTTCGCTTTCCTGACTACATCCCTTGACGTCCTCTTTTCTAACCCGGTCCCTAAGGCTTTACCGTTCCGCCTGCTTTTTAAAAAGGGACTGAGTTTGGGTTGTCAGGAAGGAGAAAAGCAAGTAGGGTTTATCTGGGGAGGAGATATTGGAGAGTTTCCAGAAGAGATGGTGTTTTGTTTGTGTGTATGTCTGTGTAAGTGTGTGCCACACGTGTGTCTGTGTCTGTGCACACGTGTGTGGGTGCCTGTGGGAGCCAGAGGAGGTGTAAGCATCCACACCGTGCCCAACATCTTTACGTGGCTCTGGGGATCAGACTCAAGGCAATCTCTTATCTATAACTCCCTATAAAACCAAGAAGCAGATCACATACTTCCAACATACAATGGCACAGAATACACATTACTATTCCAAAAGGAAGGAATAGGAGCACAGTGAGGAAATGCTGGACCAAAGCAGGACCGAAAACCCAGCAGGGCCAACTCCAAATCCTGTAACCCCACGTCTGACATCAGAGGGCTTGGATGGCTGCGCCCTTCCAGCTCTGATGACTGCAGCACACCAGCACACTTCTGTCTCTTGGGTGTCTCATGGCTCTGGCACCTCTGACCTCTTGGGGTCTCCAGTGCAATCCAGGCTTCACTCCACAGCTTCACACAGTGGCCCCTCAGGGCCTCCATGCAGGGACCCCTCTGCCACACACTTGGCCTCAGTGGCCCCCCTTAGCCGTGGAGGAAGATTCCACAACCTCGTTACTCGTGTATCCTAAAGCCAGAACCACGTGAGCAGTACTGCCAGTTTGGGGAGAGCAGCTTTGTTTTGTTACTTTTTAGGAGAGGAAATCCCTCCAGCCTTTCCCTTTTACAGCTTGGGAGCTTAGCTGGGCAGGGTCCTCCCTGAGGCCTCCCTTCATTCCATTTTGGGTTAGGCCTTTTAAACATCTCACCTCCTTCAGTACAAGGTCAGGCTCCAACATGAAACTTCCTGGTGCTGTTTTCTCCTCCAACTGCACATTTTTTCTTTTGCACCAACTCACTCTTTTTTGTTGTAGACCTGTGTAAGGGTGGTTACTAACAACCACGTGATGGAGTCGTCTATTGGGCTGTCTTGAACTCTCCTCTGCTAACGAAATAGTTTGTTACTTTTAAATTTAGCCTCAGGTAGATTCTTAGGACAAGGATAGAAGGCAGCCACATTCCTTTGGTAAATATCACAAGCATGGCCTCTAGCTCAGTTACTAACATTGTTCCCCTCTGAGTCGCTTTCAGCACCCACCACTGTCTTCCACACTTCTGCTTCCGGTACCACAGCCCTGCTTCCAGTATTCAATCACTTCCCTAGGTCAGAGTCCCAGAGTCTTCCACGTTCTTCTCCAAAACAGTGTGGTTAAACCTGTCCCGGCATTATCCCACTCCTGGTACCAACTTCTGTCCTACTTTTTTCCTTCTGTGATAAGACGCTGTGACGTGTTTGGGTTTACAGTTTCAGAGCGCATTAGTTTGTGACCATCGGGACGGAGAGCATGGCAGCAGGCAGGCATGGTACTGGAGCAGGAGTCGAGAGCTCACAGGTTGAGACACAACCCCGAGGCAGAGAGAACACAAGTCTCTTGAAACCTCAAAGTCCACCCGCAGTGACACACTTCCAACAAAGCCACATTCCGTAATCTATTTCTACAGTTCTTGTGAGAGGTTGATGAATGCAGAAGAACTGCAACAGGAAACCAGGGTCCCCAGGCACTTGAGCACAGTGTGCAAATGCATCCCAAGGCTCGTTTTTATCATTACGGCTCTTGATGACTGTTATGAGTTTACCGTTCAGCAGAGAAGCCTGATCCTCAGACCAGCATCTTCAGGGTTATATAAATGTCTGAGTCATGGGAGCAGCTTTTGCCCTATTTTCTAGAAACCGAGGAAGGCCACAAGGCATTCCCATGTTCTTTCTCACATCTGTTGGCATTCCAAGTTCCCTTCTTGAGAAATACAGCATTGGATGTTCCCATATCCATGTCACAAATCCCTTCTTATCCTCACATAACCTTAGTTCAAACCCCAACACGTCTACCAACCAGGGACCGAGTATTCAGATATGCAAACAATAGCCTGTGGGGGCCGTTCTTGGTCAACCCACAACATGGCCCCTGGTTATAACAGTAATTCATTATGTGTGAGGGTGTACACACGTGTGCATGTGCGTCTGCACCTCAGCTCACATTTGATACAGGCCACTTCTTAAAGCTGGAGCTGGGCAAGGAGAAGGGTGTTGTTTGCCTGAACCAGTTCTAGGCTTGCAGTTTTATGTCCCTCACACAAGTCCTCGACCTTCTATAGGCTTCACCCCTGCAGCGCTTAGTGGGTAGGGTGAGTAGGAGTGGGAATGGACTCCCCTGGCGTGGGAATCGGGCCGCACAGGATACGAACCTTCCACGGCCATGGCCTGCTCACCTTTTGTGTCTTCTCCAGGATGCACTTCGAAACTCCGGTGGTGACGGGCTAGGCCAGATGTCCTTGGAATTCTACCAGAAGAAGAAGTCACGCTGGCCCTTTTCGGATGAGTGTATCCCTTGGGAGGTGTGGACGGTCAAGGTGCACGTGGTCGCCCTGGCCACAGAGCAGGAGCGGCAGATCTGCCGGGAGAAGGTGGGGGAGAAGCTCTGTGAGAAGATCATCAACATCGTGGAGGTGATGAGCCGGCATGAGTACCTGCCCAAGATGCCCACGCAGTCCGAGGTAGACAACGTGTTTGACACGGGCCTGCGGGACGTGCAGCCCTACCTCCACAAGATCTCCTTTCAGATCACCGATGCCCTGGGCACCTCCGTCACCACCACCATGCGCAGGCTCATCAAAGACACCCTTGCCCTGTAGGCCTCTCTGCAGCCTTGGCAACTAACTCCTTGATGGCCCTGGGAGTCTGTGGTGCTGACGTTTTGGGCTCTGGAACCTGCTCTAGGTCCTTGGTGAGACTTGAAGAGAAGCTCTTGACGTCCTTGTTGTGTGGTTTCCAGCCTCGGTGGCCCTGTCACCTTTGCAGTGTCCTGTCCTGGATGCAGCCTTTCCACACCCCCCTGGTGGGTTCTCTTCCTACACTGTAGAACTACTGTGAGGATGGCGAATAAAGTTGAGATGTGAGTTTGGCTCAGCTGTCTTGCCCTGTGTCCTGCCCTGAAACGTGAACACTTCCTCATGAGGACTCATGATTGTTGGGGGCATTATTCCAAACTGGGATGAATGGGTTGATGCAGTTAAACACAGGTTAAAACTGGGGGAGCACCGGGCGGCGGTGGGCACGCCTTTAATCCCAGCACTCGGGAGGCAGAGTCAGGCGGATCTCTGTGAGTTCGAGGCCAGCCTGGTCTACAGAACAAGATTCAGGACAGGCACCAAAGCTACACAGAGAAACCCTGTCTTGAAAAACCAAAAACAACCAAAAAAAACCCCGTGGCGCTTGTGCTGTTAGACACATACAAAGGTGTCACCCAGCCAGATGTGACCATGGCTGTCATGAATGAGGGCAATGGGGTGTTTTGTCTTTATAGAGTATACACAAAATTATTTAATCCGGGCTATCTAAGGAAGGCGGGTCTTGGGGTTAAGGCTGCCCAGGTTGGCCTGGCTCACTGTTCGGGCAGTGCTTGGGGACACATTTTCACACAGGGTTCTCATCTGCACTGCTGCACCTGTTCACTTACTCTGTATTCTGCAATGCTGTTGGCTTCACCCTGGGAGATCTAAGCACAGCGGAGTGAGCTGCCCATAGGGAGGAGCCCCGGAGCTGCCTAGGGTCCTGGTCCTGGTCCTGGGAGGGAGCTAGGACGACCAGAGAACTGTGAGGATTTTCCCAGGCCATGTGTGCACTTTCCTGGCAGGTTGTGGTATTTTAGTCAGTCTCGGGACACTGGAGGATGGACGTCCGAGGGGGTTGGAGCTAGAGAAGGTGTATTCCCAAGCTTCCCTGGCATGCTGCACTCGGGGTGTCCCCTGTTTGCTTCTGAGGCCTTGACTGGAAGTGACCTTTGGGGATGTTTGAGATAGGGTCTCTACATAGCTGAACATGCCTGACTCATTTTACAGTCCTGCCTGTCCTGGAACTCGCTCTATAGACCAGGCTGGCCTCGAACTCAGAGATCTACCTCCCGAGTGCTGGGATTAAAGGCGTGTGCCACCGCCCGCCCAGCCTCCTGACTCATTCTACATTCCTGGCTGTCCTGGAAATATTTAAGCTCAGCCTGGCCTCAGGCTCAGATCCTCCTGCCTCTGCCTGGGATTCAAGTCATAACTCGGCTTTTGCTTTGTTTTGTTTTTGGAGACCAGGTTTCTCTGTGTAGCCCCGGAACTTGCTCTGTAGACCAGGCTGGCCTTGAACTGCCTGCCTCTGCCTCTCAATGCTGGGGTTAAAGGTGTGCACCACCACCGCCCAGCTCTAGTTCTTTTTGAGACAAAGGTAGTCCTAGCTGGCCTGGAACTCATGATGCATTATGACCTTGCATTTCTTCTGCTCCTTGTACAAGAGCTGGGCTTGCAGGTGGGTGCTGCCCCGCCCTCTTTTATACCTCCTGGGGTTTAAAACCCAAAACCTTCCATTGGGCTCGGCAAGCACTCTGCCAACCGGTCTGTACCCCAAGGCTCTCCACAGTGACTCTGTCTTTGAAAAGGGAACTTAAGGGGTCGGAGAAATGGCCCAGCCGATAAGAGCACAGGCTGCTCTTCCAGAGGTGCTGAGTTCAATTCCCAGCAACTGCAGGGGTTTCACAACCGTCTGTAATGGGATCTGATGCCCTCTTCTGGCCTTCAGGCGTACATGCAGACAGCATTCATCCAAAAAAAAAAAGGAAAAGGGAATTTAAAATTCGCTAAAGGATTTCCAGGAGTCCTGGGCAGGCTTCTCTACATCCAGATTGTACTGGACTCCCCTACCCTGGCCATATCATGGATATCTACCTGGCAGGGGGCTGTCTTCCAAGACAGTATTGTCCCTATGCTTCTGGAGCATTATGATTCTGGGATGGGGACAGTGGGCTAGATCTATGCTCTTTTTAATTTTTTAAAAAATCATAATTACATCACCCCCCACCCCTTCTCCCTCCGAGCCCTTCCACATACCCCCCTTGCTCTCTCGGTAAGTAGGACAGGAGAGAAAGTGGAGGTAGGTCTTGTCCTCTGGGTACCACGCTCCACCCATTCTCTCTGCCCCGGTGTCTGGAGGACTCCTGTGTTCTGCTTGCCTGTCCCAGGGGAAGGGTTTCCACATCCGGATCCGTTGGGCTGCCCATTTGACTGTGTCCCTGGGGCCTAGAAGGGTTGAACTTTTAGTTCAGTAACAGAAAGCTCAGTGGTCAGCACCTCAGCCAGCACCTGGGAGGGGGGGGTCTGAGGGTCTCAAAAGCGGAAAAGCCCTGAGAACGCTGAATCTTGGCCTTTTCCAAGGGAGGGAAGCCTTGGGGACAGCTCCTGGGTTTACCTGGAAATTTCAAATTGCAGGCATGGGATGAGAGAACAGACAGGCTCGGTCTGAGAATCCAGCCTGTCGGAGAAGGACCTATAGGCTACCCTGGAGGAGCCTGCCTAGGAGGGGCCTGAGCACTCACTCTGCACGGAGTTGGGGAGAGCGGGGCGGTGGAGCCCCGGGAGGCCCGCCCCTTGAATACATCTCTCAGGGCCTCCGCTCCCAGGGCAGTGTGCACATCTGGGCAGCTGGCAGGAGCATGAACAGCTCACAGGTGGGGGCTGCGGCCAAGGCTGCCTGGCTGGGCTGCTGTAACCAGTCCGGGTTGCCACTGCAGCCGCCGCCGCCGGAGGGGCCGCGGATGGTTCAGGCGGTGGTGCTGGGTGTGCTGTCCATTCTGGTGCTGTGCGGGATCCTGTTCCTGGGTGGGGGACTCCTCCTCCGAGCCCAGGGCCTGATAGCACCACTGGCTCGGGAGAGGCGTGCATCCCACGAGGCCGAGCCCGGTGCCTGTGGAGGGGATGACTCCTAGGTGTCAGGCTGTTCTTGAGAGAGGGTCAGCCCCTTCTAGGCCTTCCAGAGCCCATGTCTGTGGAGCACAGTAGAAGGTCCATCCCACAAGCTCTTGTCTCCTGCGCAGGTGAGAGCCTTGAGGCACGGGGGTGGGGTGGGGGGGTGGGGGGGTGGGACTGGGCGGGGTGGGCGGGGTGGGCAACAGTGATGACCTCTGCTCTCACCAAGCCAGACAGCTGCAAGTCCAGGGTGGGGCTGGAGTTCCCTGTGCCTCTGACTGTCCCTCCCTCCCTGGCTGTCCTCTAGGCACAGGCAGCCTTGGTGCTCCCATGTGGATAAAGGAGGGAGCTGGAGGGGCCTCCGAATGGGAGTCCGTTTCTGGTACCTAGGTGTTTCCGAGCCTCTACATCCGCTCAGTCCACCTTGCGGTGTGCCGGGCTCCACAGGGCCCTTTGTACCGGAGGCCGACACAGCCAGACCTCGGCTTTCAGCTTGCGGCTCTCTCCTGCGTGAAGCCTTTGTCCGTGCATGCGAGTGGGCAGGCTGGGGCCGGCCGAGGTGGAGGAGGGGGGTGGAAGAGTCTTCACTCCCACTCGAGGTACCCCTGGTTGTTTGGGGTAACCTTGCGGGTAGAGAGTTGTGCCGAGTCCCCCTCCCCTGACCCCTGCTCGAGGTAGCTCAGGGCCAGGAGCTTTGTGTGCTGTGTTGCGGGTGGTGATGGCAAGGAGCAGAAGCTGCCGGAAGTAGACGTGGGATTGAGGATTCCCAGCTGTGTCTGGCTCTCCTGTATCCATCTCTGTGAGGACAGGCACCATCTGGAGAGAAGGGCCTGGGTGGCCCAAAGGACAGAGCAACCCCAGTCCAAGGCCACCTCAGACTGAGCCGTGAAACGGGGGGTGGGTGGTGGGTGCTTCATCGGCATTCAGCTGTGTGTGGGGTCTTCTGGAGGCTTCTGTTTCTGGGTGACTCTCAGCTCTCCTGCTTTCAAATGACCTCTAAGAAGGCAGTGGTGCAGGGTGCCTGTGGAGATGGCCTGGTGAGGGGTGAGGGTGTGGGCAGGTGCAGCTAAGCAGCTGTGAAGCCGACGATGTGTGATCCTTGCTTAGCGGCTAAGGGTTTGGCACCGGTCCTGGACAGCCGTGCCACACCAGCCTTGAGAGCGGCGGATTTCTCACGTCAAAGATGCCTCCCCCACTGCCGTGGAGAGAGGATAGTCCAGGGCAGGGCAGTGTGTGTGTGTGTGTGTGTGTGTGTGGTAGTGGGCAGGGCCCAGGGAACTAACTGTTGGCACTCACTTTCCTGGTCTTGGGCACTGGGTGTCCTCTCTTGCACCAGGTTCCTCCGAGCCTGCCTCCTGTCTTCCACCATGCACTTTCCCGCTCTCTCCTCCGCGGAATGGAGGGTCTCTAAATTCCTGCAGACCCTTCACTGACAGACAGGGAAGCTCAGAGAGAGAAACGTGTGACCTACTCAGGAGAGTGGCAGAGCCGGAACTGGACCGCAGGCTCCAGGTTCCATGCCCGGTCTCCCGGTCTCCCGGGTGGGCCTGTTCTCCCTCCTGCTACCCCACCGCTCTGTGAGATGCTGGTCGAAGACATGGCCTCCCCTCCCACCATAAGGCACATAGGCAGCGTTCAGCTTGAGTCAAGGACCTGGCCCCTCTTGTCCCTACTTCCTCAGTGGCCTTGTTGGATCCTCTTTTACTCCTAGAACAGTCTTCAGATGCCAGGAGACAGACAGCTCCTCAGCAGCTGGGCTCAGCTTTCCGGCCTTGAACCTGAGGGATGGGGGAGGGGCTCGGAGGCTTGCTGGAGTAAACATGGATGGGAAAGATCCAAGCCATCCGCCCAAGTCGCTGTGGTGTTAGGGATGCGTGGCGGTTGGATGGCAGGAAAGGCTGTGTCTCCAGCATCATCTTGTCTGCTCACACCCAGGACGGAGACAGAGCTGGGAGAGGGGTGGGCAAAGGCTCTCTTCATCCGACTTCCTGCCTTTGATGTCCCTTGGGCTCAGTGTTTGGAATGGGTACGGCCTGTTCAGAAGTTCGCTACAGATCTCTGGTCAAGGCTGTTGGGCTGGCTGGCTGGGGGAGGGATTGCCACAGTCACCTCCTTTCAGGGTAGAAAGAGGTGGAGGCTGGGGGCAGGCCTGAGGGACAGAGAGGCGGCACCGTGGCTCCCAGGGCACTCTGCTAGCCTGAGCCTGTGCCACGCAGGCTGCGGCAACAGATAGACTGGTATCTTGCCCTACATTATCAGTCCGCGTTCATGGTGTACAGGGCCCTGCCTGATCTCCTCAAGTGACTGCTGAGCTCCCTCCAGTCAAGATGGTGGCACCATGTCTTACAGATGCTGGAGCCAGCTGTGCCTCCCGGAGAGCTCTCCCTCTCCCTACCGTCGCACCAGGGAGCCCCTGCCACCCACCCCACCCCGTTCGTTTGTGCTGCCGAGGAGGACGGACTGAAGATACCTGGACTGTGGTGACGCCTCCCTCACTCTGAGCTGCTCCCTGACACCTGGGGTGGGTCCAGGAGAGCCATGCTCCAGGAGCACGTGCATCTGCTTGGTGACTGCTGTGTGCTCTGGGCCCTGAAGCGGCTTCACACCCCAACTGCTAGTGTGTCCTCTGCACACCAGGCCCCCGTGGACACACGTGCAGCTCCTGTCCTGCCTGGTGTGGACAGTCGTGTCCTACAGCCCAGCAACCTGTTGTAACCTGTTGTTGCTGAGAACCATAGGTTAGTGCCTCCCGTCTGGAGAGCGTCGGCCATCCAGCAATGCGCCACCACTGTCCAGGGCTCGCTATTAAACAGGCCAGCAACGCAGTTCTGGGTGTGTGGTCTGTTTCCATCCTTGACCCCCGGGATTCCTGGTTTGTTTCCTCACTCCCCTTCCATGTGGTCTGCTTCTAGCAGATGATTTATTTATTTATTTTTTAAGATAGGGTTTTACTACGATAGTCCAAGCTGACCTGAGACTCGCTGTGTGGTCTAGGATGGACTTGAACTCACAGTGATCCTCCTACCTTAGCCTCTCAGGGATTACAGATGGGGGCTGCCACAGCTGGTTTAGAACCCAGACTTTTTGAGGGTGAGTGTGATGTGGGCTGGGAGTGACTCTAGTGCCCACTCGTGGCTGCCCCCTGACCCCCAGTGGTCAGTGTAGTCAAGAATCTGGCTTTATTCAACTTCTGACAAGAGCTGGGGCGGGCACCTCTTCCCTGAGAGTGGATTTTGTAAATGTGTGCTCTGAGTTCCAGTCAGCAAACCTTCCTGGATCACGGCCCCTCATCTATGGAACAGACGTGGCAGTGTGAGGACCTAACGGGCAATGTGCTTGTTTTGTGTACTACGTATTATCCATAGAGGGTTTTGTGTTCTACCGTTACCAAGGGACACTGTTTCCCCTGTCTGCCTCTATTAATTATTTCTCTATTGCTGTGATAAAACACCATGGCCAAGTCAACTTATGGAAGGAAGAGTTTATTCTGGACTGACGGTTCCAGAGGGTGAGATGGCCGGAACGGGTGGGTAGTGGCATGGTGGCTGGAGCCGGAAGCTCAGAGTTGAGAGCTCACATCTTACACCATGAACGGGAGGCCCACCGGAAATGGTGTTTTAAAGGCTTCTAAATGCTCAGAGCCTGACCCTGACATGCTTCTTCCAACAAGGTCATACCTCTTAAATCCCCCAAACTGTGCCACCAACCAGGAACCAACTATTCAAATGTCCAAGACTACGGGGAACTTCCCATTCAAACCACAGCACTCTGACCATTTCCAGAGGAAGGAGGAGGAGAGAGAAGAAGAGAGTGTGTTGGTTTGAATGAGAATGTTTGGCTACTTGGTCCCCAGTTGGTGGAACTCTTTGGGAAGGAATAGGAGGCGTGGCCTTGGAGGAGGTGTGTCACTGGGCATGGGTTTCGAGGTTCACAAGACTTGAGCATCTCTCAGTTAGCTTTCTCTGCCTCATGGTTGTGCCTCAGGATGAAAGCTCTCGGCTACGGCTCCAGCACCGTGCCTGCCTGCCTGCTGCTGTGCTCGCTGTCCTAATGGCCATGGGCTCACCCTCTGAGCTGACGGCCCCAGTAAATGCTTTCCTTTAGTGGTTTCCTTGGTCATGGTGTCCAGTTATAGAAACGGGGACGTAACTAAGACAGAGAGGAAAGAAGGGGAGGGTGGGAAGGGAGAGGAGGGAAGAGAAGGGGAATGATCAACCGGGCTCCTAGGGACGCAGTTGATTTCCTTGTTCCTTCCATAAGGACCTCCTGAGTGCTCTGTGCTGACAGTCAGTGTGCTCTGGAATGGGGCACAAGGAGACAAAGAAGACAGTTCTACCCTCACGGAGCTCTCAGTCGCCAGAGAGTGGGGTCCAAAGACTGGAGTTAATATAGATCACGGAGCATGCCCAGGTGGCGAGAACCGAGAGCAGGCGTCCTCAGCTAGGGAGCTGGTGAAGGCCACCTCAGAGCAGGTGGGGCTTACCCAGCATCCTTCACCTGCTGGAGGGAGAAGAGCAGCCTGTGGGGGCAGGGCACAGTCTCCCGGGAGTGAGACCAGGGGCAGGGAAGTCGGGTGGCTGGAGCCTTTCACCGGAGATCTGGACCTTAGCGGGCGGGAGCACATTTGAGGGTGGAACCAATGGAAATGCAAAGGCCTGAAGGATGCGATGGTCAAAACCCAGCCAACATGGCCGTCGCTGGAGCCTGGGATGCAGGCAGGCTTTGTCAGTAGCTGCATGTGAGGGGTGAGGGAGAGACAGGAGGTGGATGATGGTTGTGGCCCAATGTCCCTCCCTGAGGCGATGGGTTATTCAGTCAGGGCTTTTCAGGGCTGAACTCATAGAAAACAAACTGCTTGGTTTAGAGAAGAGAATCCACTGACCCGCTTAAGAGACCAGTCTGTGCACTGGTCAGCACTCAGCCCCGAGAGCAAACCTTCTTTTCCTCTCCTAGCCTCCCTGTCCCTCGGCTTGCTTCGGTCAGCCTCCAGGCCTGCGTTGGACAGGGTCATCTCGTGGCTGACCCATGCTGCCTGGCGTGCGCTCTGGGTGTGCGTGCGCTCTGGGTGTGCGTGCGCTGGCTGCAGCCTGAGAAGGTGCCTGACTTCTGCAGTGCATTCCCCTCATCTCAGACCAAGGAAAACAGGACGCAGCTCAGGCTTTTTTTTGGGTTAGGACAAAAGGAAGTTCATAGATAAGATACGAACGCACAGTGTGTGCTGCCTTCACGTGGGGCCGCTTGGCTTCAAATCTATCAGGACAAAGGAAGTCATCGCCAAGTGATACCAGCCAAGTCCTGGGTCTGTTGTGAACGAACCCGGATCACTGTTATCCTGAGAGTATAGAATGTTCCAGACCTTGGTCACATGAGCTACCACCAACCACAGGATCCAAAGCCGGGGTATGTCTCCTCACCAAGCCTGGGCCTGTTTAATTCTGGGGTAAACAGAGGCTCTGGGCTGCTGCCGAGGGCACAGGTGGAGAGGTCTGCTCCCAGCTCAGCTCCAAGACACCTCAGGGACAGTTAGCTCCTGGGTCGGAGCTCAGCCGAGAGTTCTGGGGCACGGTGATGCTAGAGCCACACATGAAGCTTGGATGGACCAGGCCGGGGCAAAAGGGCAGGAGAGCCCGGTGTGCCGTCACTTAAACGAAGGCAGGAGAGGAGGCCAGAGAGCTGGGGAAGTCGGGGATGGGCCAGGCTGTGTGCTGGAGAGGAGTGACTGGGGGCTTGGCCTGGAGTATCCATATCCCCAGATCTGCTGGAGGAGCCCACACCTTTGGAGGCAGGGAGCGCAGGAGGCTCCAGCCCACCTCAGCTGTTACCTCCCAGTTGCAGGTGAAGGAGCCTGACCTCAGGAGGGGTGGTTTTTTTTTTTTTTTTTAAAGAGAAGCTCTCACTTTATGGCTTGCTGGTTTGTTTGCTGTATAGACCAGACTGGCTGGGACTCTACCTGTCCCCAGTGCTGGAATAAGGCACACATGCTTGGGCAGCTTGCTTGCTTCCTTTCTTTCTTTCTTTCTTTCTTTCTTTCTTTCTTTCTTTCTTTCTTTCTTTCTTTCTTTCTTTCTTTCTTTCTTTCTCTCTCTCTTTTTTGAGACAAGGTTTCTCTGTGTAGCCCTGGCTGTCTGGATTTCACTCTGTAGACCCGGCTGGCCTTGAACTCACAGAGATCTTCCTCCTGAGTGCTGTGATTAAAGATGTGTGCCATTGGGGGGTTGGGGATTTAGCTCAGTGGAAGAGCACTTGCCTTGGGTTCGGTCCTCAGCTCCGGTGGGCGGAGGGAGGGGGAAGACAAAATAAGATGTGTGCCATCATGCCCAGCAAAGTTTTTCAAGAATTACATCTTGATTTTTAATGTGTGCATGCGTGAGTATGTGTGTGTGCATGCATGTGTGTGTGTGTGTGTGTGTGTGTGTGTGTGTGTGTGTGTGTGTGTGTGCCACAACACATATGTGGAGGTCTGTCAGAGGACAACTTTGAGGAGTCAGTTCACTTTTCCACAGTCCTGGGTATTGAGCTCAGGCCATCAGTCTTGGTGGCAGGTGCCCTCACATGGCAAGCTCCCTTGTTGGCCCCATGCCCAGACTTTTTTTGTGGGTTGTGGGGATGTGAACTCTGGTCTTGATGCCTGCACAGTGAGTAGTTTACCCACTGAACCATCTACCCAGCCCCCTGAAGGACATCTCTTTGTGTTATGTGATTGCTCGGCCATGCACCTGCCCCTCCTAGGCTAAACCAAACCTGAAACCAATTCCCCCCATGCTGTGGGCCTCTCACGCAGCTGCAGTCCAAGGGCCCCGTGGGATAGCTGACCTGTGGGTCACATTCTGTGTTTGCCCCTCTTCTGTCCGACAGATATGTCCCCATTCAGAACTCCTCCCTCTGAGCCCATGGTCAGTCACCTTGTCCTTTCAGGGGCTCACATAAAGCATTTTACTTTATTTTATTACATTTATTTAGAGGGTCTCCTGACGTCTGCTCTGTCCCTTAGTCCCTTCCAGTTTAGATGTGATGATCCACTGCCTCGGTCACTCTTGCCGAGTCCTAACTTCCTTCCCTCCACAGAACTATTCCAGAAAATCCCCATCCCCAGGTGACTGCGGCAGTCCATCCTTGGCCTTGAGTGGATGCCGGGTGACCTCTGGCTGCTTCCTGGGTCCTCTGAGTCCTCCTCTCTGCTCCACTGTTCCAGAAGGTTCCCCCCGTCACACCGCCCTCTGAGCCCCCCTCCCGCTCTCCCTCCTTCACCCCTCTCTTCAGTTGCTCCTCATTGGCTCTTGGGTCCCAACACTCAGGTTTCTTCCGCCTTAAAATAGCCCTTGCTCACCCCCACTGCCTCCTCCAGTTACTCTCCTGCGGCCAAGCTTCTCGGAGGACC